CATCTAAATTATTCTCATGAGATGGAAGCTCCTCCGCCAATACAACAGGTCGGGTTTCTGGAAGCATTCTCCATATCCCATAACTATGTGCCCACATAGGTCTTTAGCTAGTGGATCCACCTAAAAGCTAATACATTTAGTTCTACCTTAGGCAAGTAGGACACCTTCTTTCGGTGTGGGGTTACGACACGGGATTCTATATATCTCACATGGTCTATGTCGGTTATGGCTAATTTTTTCCCTACATGAAAAGATAATGAATATGACACGAACTATACTTATGACTCCTTGATGAGCTTTACTTAGTAGGAGTGGGGGTATGGGACTTCACTTTTACATTTCACAAGTAGACTTTGAAAGGGTTATGGGATGGTTTCTTATGCTATGATAAGATATGAATGTATGCATGTATGTTGAATGGATTGTTGCTATGGATAACTTTCTTTATGTTCAAGTTAAGGTACATGACTATTTCCTTGTCTATGAGTATTGACTATGATGAGGTCTATGTATGTTATGTATGACTAGGGTGGTCTCAAATGAGTACTTAGTGTGGTTGGTATTATGGGATGCCAATCAAACATTTCACAAGTACAACTTAAGGTTACTAAAAAGATTGTTCTATTATGTCATAATGTTCTCACATGATAAATGTGCTTATGACTTGTGTTTTACATTAAAAGTGCATGGTGATTCTCAAACTTGGCAAATGCATACTTTTGAACAAAAATGTCCTTTTTATCATATTTCAAGGATTTTTATGCATGCTTCCATACTTGGTACATATTTGTGCTAACCCCTATTTCTTCTACATTTTTGAAAAGTGTAGGTTCCGACTAGTTGAAGTCTACTTCCTTTCTTGACAAAGGCTTGGATTGCTTATCTCCAATACTTGTGGTGAGTCATCATGGTTCGAGGACAAGATGTCATTCACTTCTAGATTTTTTTCTTATAGACTACTTTTGAGACTTTTGATTGTAAAGGGGTGTGACCCTATTGATATTCTATTGTAGTAGATAGTTAATGAAACAATGTCTAGACTTCGCTTTTGTTTTTAATAAAAAGACTTTGATTGTAAAATTTGAAATTCGGCATCATTTCTATTTCCTATGTTTATGTATGCTAAGGGCTTGTATGAGACCCCTTCAGGGTCAAGTACGCGGTGTTGCATCTATGGGGTACCCTTGGGTCGTGACATTTTGGTCCCTCAATATTTCATACATTTTAATTTTGGTCCTTGCGATATATGACTCAACATATTTAACCTTTGATCCTTTTAGGTTGGAAATATGTTATGCTCAGAATTTTTTTAGAGATAGCAGGGTTAAAGTCGGCGTAAATTCTATTTTTTTCCTAAACCCCACTTGTTATTACACTCGATATGTTGTTGTTGTATTAACCTAAAATATGGAATAATAAATATAAGTTTAACATAACACATTGATAACTGAATGGTGGAGTGGTTAATAATTCTGAATCATTTTGAATATTATAAACAAAGAGATCAAAATTTCACAATTACACATTTCAAGTAATTGAAATATATTCATACTCAATAAGCACTAAAATTGAAATTTATCAAATTTTAGGGATTCAATTCCTCTCCATGGGGAAAAAACATATAGTCATCCCTCAATTGTTCCAATAGATGGTTCCATCTCTTTCACTTTAGGTATATGTTTCTTTTGGTTCTTTTTTTTCTATTTTATTTTCTTGTGGTTGACTCGACAAATAACACATTGAATTGACTTGCTCAAGTTAGAGATCTTTAACTCTCGTACAATTATTTGTTTGAAGGTAGTTCACGGTTTAATTTGTCAAGATATCATTATATTAAACGAATTAATAGAATTTTTCTCACAGCATATAATGGAGCATGTTGTGAATCCTTGACCGATTGATCGTACACTTCTTCTCTCAGCATGAGCATAAATCAGAATTGTTATGGAAATGTGAGATATCATTTAGCAGCCTTATGAGTAGAGCTGTCAAATAGGGCTTAGCCCATGGGGCCGGCCCAACCCAACCCGTTATTGGGGTAGGGTTGTGATAGAAATTTACAAGCCCATTTAAAACTGGGGATTATAAGCCCAATCCTTTTAGGCCCTTAGCCCTTGAGGCTTGATCGGGGTCGGGCCGGGGTCAGCCCATGGGCCAAATTATTTAATTTTAATTAAAATAAATATTCAAAAAATAAGAATAAAAAACTAGAAAACCTAAATAAGTGTTTGTGGAGTTTTTCTAAGGAGCTTACCTCGTGAATTTCTTTATTATTTAGTTTTGAATATAAGACTTGGATAGTAAACACTATTTATATTATATGTGATAGAATGTTTTATGGCTTGAACAATTAATTAGTTTCTTGATTTCATTTAACAAAATACTTTAAGTAATTATGTATTGCTAACTAAAGATTTAGTCAGAAGTGTTCTTTAGTTTACTAGTTTGTTTTTCAGATATTTTTCACTTAAGAGATTATAATTTTTTTTCTTTAAATATTTATTGCTAGATTTTATTTAGTAGGCGTTTGGCCATGCGATACCATATCACGATATGGTATCATGAGATGGAATCAGCACTTAGACATGCGATTTTACGTTGATTCCATCTCATGATTCCATATCATGAGAGGTGATACCATACTCTCCAAAAACCATGATATGGAATTATATGGTGATTCCATATCATTATTTGAGATATTTTAATACAATAATTGATCTATGAGTTTATATTTTGTTAAAACAACCCCACATTTATATCTACTAACCATTTGTTTCATATGTAAATAAAATTTATAACACATCATTACTTTTTAAAATTTATTATTCTCACCGACATAAAATTTATTATTCTCACCAACATATAGTCACTTTAACTCACACCTCAAGATTGTGAAACTTTTCAACATTCACTTGAAACAATTAACCGGCATGTTAAAATAGTTGCCGAGGCAATTAGCAAGATGACACCAACATTTATACAACCAAAAAATATGACTGGTGTACATTCCAAAATTCGACATAATACTCGATTTTGGCCTTGGTTTAAGGTAAAATTTCAGTCACATTAATAAATTTATTTTATGGCCTTAATAAGTGAACATTTATATTTTATGTGTAAGTTATTAGTATTTAGTTACATATTTCCTATAAACTTTGTTTAAAGAGATAATATTGATTTTATGACTTTGCATTGTCTTGGAAGCACTATTTTTATTACTCTTACAAACATTATTTTTATGAAGTACATTCTATAATGCTTCCAATTTATTTTATGTTCACTAAACTAATATTGATGTATTTTTTATTTGGTAGGATTGTGTTGGTGCGATTGATGGAACATATATAGAATGGGAGGTTCCTAAAGCGGTGCAACAAGCATATCGTAATCGCAAAGGAAGAACATCACAAAATGTCTTATGTGCTTGTGATTTTGATATGCGATTTACCTTTGTTGTTGCTGGTTGGGAAGGTACTTCACATGATAGTAAGTACTTGAGAATGCACTTGTTGAACCAACGTCACAATTTCCATTTCCGCCACATGGTAACTTTAAATTACATCCTTAGAATAAATATTATTTATTTACACAAAGTTGTCTCATTTACGTCACATATGCATTTAGTAATTCTTTATAAAATATTTTTTGGTAGATAAATATTATGTTGTTAATGCTGGTTTCCGAAACACAAAAGGATTTTTAGCTCCATACAAAGGACTACGCTATCATTTGCAAGATTACCGAGGAAGTGAAAGAGAGCCTCAAAATGCCAAAGAACTATTTAATTATAGGCATTCATCTCTGTGCAATGTGATTGAACGGACTTTTGGAGCTTGAAAAAATAGATTTAGAATTTTGAAACAAGGCATGAACCATTATGATATTGATACACAAGTGAAAATTGTCATACTTGTGCAGTGTTACATAATTATTTGCGAGAATACCAAAGTAGTGATGAAATTTTTATGGTCTATGAACATGAAGATATAGTTGCGGAGGATATTGACCAACAAATGGCTCAAAGTAACAATGTTGGTTCGTCTTCTCGGTCACATGATCGAGAAATGCAAGTTCAACGTGAGGAAATTGTCCATACTATGTGTGAGGATTATATTAAAGACTAGTACACTACAATTTATGTTCAACTTTTTTTATTAAATTAAAGTTAGATGAACAACTACTTAAGTGGAGAACAAATAACTTTGTAATAATTTATTATGCGATTTTATAATTTTTTATTTATTTGATAAGATTGAATAAACAATTGGGACTATTTTAATAGTTTTACAACTTATGGATTTTTATGTTTATGAGAAAATATACAACACAAAAATTACATATCGCATGTCCAAAGAAACCTTCAATTTCATCAATGATTCCATATTATGATACCATATCATGATTCCATATCGCATGGCCAAACATGCCCTTAGAATTATTGAAACAATGTTACTGTTTGTGACATTGATTTGACATAAAAAAAAAAAAAGGGTTGTCCCGCCCAAGCCCTTGACCCTTCTGGGGTTGAGCCGAGTTGACCATTTTACAGCCTTTTGAAATGAAGGGCCAGCCCTCCCCAGCCCATCAAATTCTTTGGCCCGTGAGGCTTGGGCGGGATAGGGTTGGGCTGACCCATTTTGACAGCTCTACTTATGAGGACGGTGCACATAAATGATGCTTGGAATTTATTTCGTTTGCACTGACCTCATGGACGTGTTGAGGAGATCTTACGTAGGTCCGGACTATATGATGTAGTTTGTGTGGGCAGGATGCAATATGATCGTGCCCTTGTTACAACTATGGTTGAGCGTTGGAGGCCAGAGACTCATTGCTTCCACTTACCTTTTGGTGAGGTCACGATTACATTGCAGGATGTGCATGTAATGTTTGGTTTGCACATCGATGGTGATGATGTATACATGCAGGATGTTGCACGGAGGATTCGTCCATGTCGTACTTTATTAGAGACACTCACATGATGCGCCATAGCACCTACTGATATGGATGGTGCAAGTCAGGTGAGGATACATAGCTTTATCGGCTACTTGCGAGATCAGTTACAAGTAGATTCGATAGGAGATGCTACTCCAGTGGAGCGGGTTGAAAAGATTGCTAGACTTTACATATTTGTTATATTGGGGGGCATCTTATTTCCGAACACGTCGGGGAACCTTATTAGCTTACAATACTTGGCGTTCCTAGATCCCATCCATGATGTAGGTAAGTACAGTTGCGGCAGTGCAGTGTTGGCCTACTTGTACCGTGCACTTTGTCGGGCATCTATCGATAACGTGGTTGACATTTGCGGATTTATTCCTCTCCTTCAGGTAACTTTACTAAAGTTTTAAAATACATTCAAATACAAAGAATCTTTAACATTACACCGTACAAGAATATTTTTTCTATATTCAATTTTTTAAAATATTTAAATTATATACAAATAATTTTTAAAAACTATTAAATATATATATATATATATATATATAATTGTTAATTTATTTTGTTAATGATGATAGTTTAATTATTTTGTTTGTCACATTAAGGTTTGGTGTTGGGAGAGGATCTTGCATGTACAACCATCAGCTCCTTCACCGCATGATGGTGACACATTACTTCCATATGCTAGGCGTTGGACGCGTGGAATTGATAGGGATACTGAGTCACATCATGTTCTTATCCCGATTAGGGACCAACTAGACCGCATGATGGAGGTTCAGGTACATCAAATAATTTTTGCAACTCTTTACTAGTTTTTTTAAAAAATATATAAATTACATATAAACGTAAATTATATAAAAGTAAATCAATAATAATTTTATTTGTATACTAAGTAGTTAATGTTGATTTTATCTAATTAATATATTTTAAAATAGTTTCGATGGACACCGTATAATGAGATTTTACATACACTGCTTCGTTGTTGTACAATGGATGAGACTTTATGGATGGCATGCGTGCCTATTCTTTGCCTAGAGATTGTTGAGGTGCACACGCTTGATAGAGTGATGCGTCAGTTTGGTCGTCCCCAACATGTACCTGCGATTCCTAGTTGGGGAACCAACCACCACGTGCATGATCAGCGTAGGAGGCTTGGACCGGAGGTTCTTGAAATGTTGGTTAAATATTTTGATGATTGGGGTAATCGACATCAGAGTTTAGAGGTTGGTAGATGATGGTACTAGCGAGGCAGGGTATAAATTGTGGTACATGTGGTACGGAAGGTTGCTTATAGGTAAGCCTGCATTAGAGGTTGTTGTACCGTCAGGCTTTGATTCCGCTATTACTAGCATTGCAATAGAAGGTTGCTTATAGGTAAGCCTGCATTGGATGATATGTCTCAAACACCCGGAAGAAAAAAGATTGTTACAAGAATTGTAAAGAATGTGAACATAAATGATCTTCTGGCCAAAAAGAGGAAGAGGGACAATGAAGATGAGGATGGATGGATATACGGGACTTAGGCCGCGAGATATTCTACGTATTTCAAGAAAGGGTTGTGGAACATAATATTATTATTTTTGTGTATGTATTTTTTTTTAGGAAAAGTGAATGAAAAAATTCATGTATATTCATATTTTTGTGTATGTATTTTTTAAAAAAAGTGAATGAAAAAACATGACTCGAGGATGACCAAAAATACAAATAAAAAGTTGCATATAAATTAATACAAAAATAAATTAACACAGTTAAACATATTTCTTTAACTACTACCACCATATGATGCGTTTCGAGCTCGTGATGGACAATTGCGCGTATCATGGACTATTTGTTTGCACGTTGAGCACTTGCGAGTGAGTGTACTTGTGGGAACTCCATTTTTTTATGTATACGGGTGGTTTTATTTACGCCCACTTTTCGTAAATATTTTTTATTTGCTATCATAATTAAGGGACTCTCGGGCCAATACTTTTCACTGGCAAGTGAATTGAATTGTCCGGAGTACTAGGCTTTTTTGTAGTTACGCACGCTGAATTCTGGTGCCATATGTTCCCATGTTTGATACCCAATTTGGTCAAATCCCTTTATTGCATGAGAACATGGAATGTGGTATGATTTCCATTTACCACATTGACATATTCCTTGCAATGCATTTACAATGTGCTTATTACCACCACGACCATGATGCATATGTGTCTGCACCTCAAATATGTTTTCCCTTTGTTGGTGGTAGTTGATGAGTGTGTGACGCTGTGACTTTTTTTGGTTATCTTCAAAAATCTTGAATGGTTTAGGCATTCATTGTTGCTTTTTTTGTACTAGCTAATTGACAAAGTTTGATCTTGTAGCAAATTCGTTCACAATCTGATTGTAAGTGAGTCTCACCATTGCAATAACTGGTAGGCCCGTGGCTGACTCAAGCAGATCATTGAATGAATCAGAACTATTTGTTGTCAGCATGCCTCATCTCCTACGTCCATCCTTGTGCAATGTCCATTTGTCAAGATCGTTCTTCATTAACCACACATACGCTTCCGCATTAATCTCATTGATCATCTCCATTTTTTCCAAAATACTTTTCTCCTAACAGTGATTTGCAGCTTCCCATAAAAGGTTGTTCAAAGTGACATTTTTTATTTTTTTTTTGAAAATTGGCCTTCAAATGTCTTAAACAAAAACGATGAAACCCAAATGGGCCCTACCAATTTGGAGAATTATACACGGATGAGAGTATTCCGTGATGTCTATCTGATATCAATGCTACACCTCTACGACCCTTGACAACGTGCAAGTGTAAATGATCCAAAAATAAAGTTCATGTCTCCATGCTCTCATTCGCAACTATTGTAAATGTCAAAGGTAATATTGAGTCGTTACCATCCGTTGCAATCGCAATCAACAACTTGATATCATATTTTTCATAGACATGTGTTCTGTCAATTGATATAACAGGATGACAAAACACAAACCCATCAATACATGGTTTAAAAGTCCAGAACATATAGTTGAATACATCTTCAATGACATCGACACGCCGCTCTGGTTACCATTCAACTATTGTTCCAGGATTGAAGTGTTTCATAGCTTCCATGAACCATGGCCACTCGGCAAAAGAACCCTCCCAAGTACCATAGACTTTTTCAAAAGCACGCTTGCGACCAAGATAGGCTTTTCTCCTGCTTGTCGAAATGTCATATGCTTTAAGAATGGTTGTTTGACAGTCTTTGATGAACAATCTGAAAAATAAAAATAATATTAATTATCAAATAAAAAGGTATACGTTGTGATGTATATTCATCATGTGTATCGCCAAAGATATCTGGACCATCTGGGAGATGATCAAGATAAGGAATTTCATGATTACAAAAAAGACTCATGGACATTGGTATTGCTGGCCGATTGGGCATAAAAAAATCATCATCACTAGATGATGCCTAAAATGAAACATTATCTCCTGATTCCTAAGCATTAGGCAAATAATCACTATCACTAGTTGAAGGTGAGCCGTAATTTGGAAGGTCACGATCATCGATATTCACAGGATCAATGGGCTCATCTTGTGTGATATTTTCCCTATATGTGTAAAAAAGTATAAATATTTGCCTCATGCAATTAACTTAAATAAAAAAAATTAAGTGTTGGACACACCGATAATCATCTGCATCAAAAGTAGGCGAGACATGAAAATTTGAGAATGTCCCAGTATTTTCCGTCTGTAGACATTGAAATTTTGTGGAACTCTACAAGACGTGTTCAATTCGAATTGAGACTCTAGAAGGTGTGTTCAGTTTCAATTAGAATTCTTAGAGGCTACTCAACCCTAAACCCTAGTCCATGCCTATATAAAGAAAACTAAATTCTCTTAAAAGGCATCTCGAAAATTCCATAAAGAGATCGAAATCTCAAAAATTTCGTAAAGAGATCGAAATCTCGAATATTCTGCAAATTGATGGAATATTCATATAGAGGTCAAATCTAAATCATCTTAGTTCGAGAAATACGCCACTAACGGTCCTCGAATCATGGATAAATCTCAGGAGAGTAGAATCAAGGGAGAAACAAAATTGTACCCGCATTGATTTATCAATAAAATTCACGTTTCTTCAGATTTTATTTGTGTGGTTTATTTATTTTCCATATGTTTAAAAAAAATCGCAAACAAATTGGCACGCCCAGTGGGACCAAATCTGCCCTTCATCTCTTCTTTCATAAATCAAATCTGAAAATCTGAAGCTGCAAAGGTGGAAGAATGAGTACTTCAAGCCTCGTCTTTTAGTTTCATCGAGTCTACACTCCGGCAAGTCTTGACATGGGGCATTTGTAGACATTGAAATTTTGTGGGACTCTACAAGACGTATTAAATTCAAATTGAGACTCTAGAAGGTGTGTTTAGTTTCAATTAGAATTCTTAGAGGCTACACAACCCTAAATTCTAGTTTATGCCTATATAAAGGGTATTGAATTCTCTTAAAAGGCATATCAAAAATTTCATAAAGATATCGAGATCTCGATATATTCCACAAAAGTCATGGAATATTCATATAAAAGTCAAATTTAAATCATCCTAGTTCGAGAAATACGCCACCAACGTCCCTCGAATCAGGGATAAATCTTATGAGAGTAGAATCAAGGGAGGAACAGAATTGTACTCTCATTGATGAATAAATATTATGCTTCTTCAGATTTTATTTGTGTGGTTTATTTATTTTCCATATATTTAAAATTTGTTGCAAACAAATTAATTTCGTCAAGTCCCTTGATTAAACTCTCCTCTCATCTCAACTTTTCAAGGTTTTGTTGGGCTTCTAGCCTCTTTTTGTCAAATGCTTCTAACTCAGCAAGACGCAGTCGAACATTTTCTTCTTCAGTGATCCCTTATTGAATAACAAGTCTTAAGGAAGGTATTTGATGCTCAAGTGGTAGGACTGCTTCAACACCAAAAGCGAGTGAATATGGTGTTGCTTGAGTTGGAGTACGGTACGTCGTCCTATATCCCCGCAAAGCTTCTTCCATTCTTTCATACCAATCCCATTTGGACTTGGAGACAACTTTCTTCAGGAGGTTGCATAGAGTCTTATTGAATGCTTCAGCGAGACCATTGGCGGTAGCATGATACATAGAAAATTTACGCTGCTTGAAACCAAAGAGATCACAAATTTTGTTCATTAACTTGTTATCAAATGGCTTGTCATTATCTGTTATTATGTAGCGAGGGATGCCAAAGCGATAGATGATATTCACTCGGATAAAATTTGCAACATTCTCTGCTAGATTTGAGATGAACCTCCTCAAGTAGGCTAGTTTTCCTTGGAGACTTTTTAACTCATGAATATTTCGAAGCTCAGGCATCTTCGATATTGCATCAACTTTGGCTTAATCTATTTCAATTCCTCGATGTCTCACAATGAAGCCAAGGAACTTTCCAGAAGTAACTCTGAAGGCACACTTCAATGGATTCATCCTTAGTTGATATCTTTGAAGCAACTCAAACACCATTCTTAAGTCTTTCAAATGATCATTCCTCTTTCTCGACTTTACCACCAGGTCATCCACATAACATTCAACATTTTTATGGAGCAAGTCATCAAATATATTTTGCATAGCCCTTTGATATATAGCACCAGCATTCTTCAAACCGAAAGGCATCACTTTGTAGCAATAAATACCTTTAGGCATGCGAAATGCGGTGAGTTCTTCATCCTTTGGTGCCATGAGGATTTGATTATAGCCAGAAGAACCGTCCATGAATGACATCGCCTCATAACCAGTAGTAGCATCAATCATTAGCTCAAGAATGGGAAGAGGGAACTCACCTTTAGGACATGCATTATTGAGATCCCTGAAGTCAACACAAACTCGAATTTGGCCATTCTTCTTCCTTACATGAACAATATTTGAAATCCATGTAGGATATTTAACTTCACGAATGAATCCTGCCTCAATGAGTTTGTTGACTTCATTCTCTATCAATGGAACCAAGTCTGGCCTAAAACGTCTTTAGGCTTGCTTAACAGGACGAGCACCATTTTTGACTGCCAACTGATGGACTGCTACTTTAGGATTCAAGCCAGACATTTCTTTATAACTCCAAGAGAAGACATCCCTATATTCTTTTAGTATATTCATATAAGCGATTTCTTCATTAACTTCTAGAAAGGCACTCAAGTAAGTAGGCATTGGGTCTTCATCAGTGCCAAGGTTAACTTCCTTTAAGGGATCTATTGTGGTCTTCACTCCTTCTTCAAGTTCTGGTGGAGCATCTCCAGCATCTTCCTCTTCTAGAGGGTCATTTTCATTGACAGATATATGATAACACTAGACAATATCTTCTAACTCTTCATCAATCTTTATTTGAGGTAAAGAATCGTGCTCATTCTAGATTGCAACATGATATGAAGAGCCTACACTTTCTTCATCTTCCTCGCGCTCCTTGGTGTAAACCACAATATGAGCCTTTGCCTTGAGTTCCTCTTTACACGAAATCACAAGTTCCACTCATCGCCTCATTCTAGAAGGAATCAAACTTTTGAAATCCTTTTGGATCATAGATGAAGTCAACGTGTCACTTTTAGATAACTTCTCCGATGCTTGTTGTTTTTCTTCTTCAATGGACCTAATCTCTCGAACACAGAAGTTCTTGCAGTCGATCAAAGACGAAAGGCTTTTTATTGGGAGCAATGACATCATCTTCAAAAGTTATATGATTATTGCTTGCTCGTCTTATGGAGATGCAAACTGGTGGTGGTTGGTTATAGCCTAGGCCTTCACGTGCTTGCCTAGTTTTATCAACTGATAGGAGTTTCCCTAACATTGATGGCTCATTAGGATTATATCCGGCCTTCGCAAATAACTTGTAAGCATTAGGATTAAAACCTTCTCCCGTGCGTTTTGTAGGGAGTGCCACATCTTGCACTTGATTTTGAGCGATTGTCTTTCCTGGTAGCTTTGAAGGCAAGTTTACTGCATCAATTCGTCTGATAGGAAGAGTTAGTCCTCTTAATGCATCTTCTTGAAGGGTAGATGATTTGACTTCTTCTTTCTTTACTTTTGGAACATAGCGAAGTCCAGAAGTTAGATTCTTCTTTGAAGACATGGTCCTCCCTTCATTGAGATTGGGACGAAGTTCTTTAGTGTCAACTTTTGCCTTTTTGACAGCCGTTCGATTATTTTGCTTGTGATCTTGTTAGACTTGGTTGATTTGACTTTATTAGATTTTGTCCCTTTAACAACATAACTCTTCAAATAGAATTTTGCATCGGCAAAGTGCGTCTCAACTTCGGTGAAAGGATTATCATCTGCAACTATCTTCCTTTCAATTCCGTCTTCAAGATACTTCAAACATTGATAGTAAAAAAATGAGACAATTTTATTCTCGTGTACCCAAGGCCTGCCAAGTAATATATTGTATGAAGTCTTTGCATCGATTACGTGCATCCATGCGTTTGATCGCAAATATTTCATGTGGATTTGTAATTTAATGGAGCCTATGGACCTCTGTCCTCCTTAATTGAATCATTGTATCAACAAACGACTTTCACTAAGTTTTTCGATGATGATGCCGAGTTCCTTCAATGTGTCGATAGGCAAAATATTAACTCCAGATCCTTCATCTATCAAGATTCTATTTATCTTCTTCTCTAACACCTGACCAACCATATACAAATGACGATTGTGTAGTGTTTCACCAAATAGAAGATCATTATTTGTGAATGTGATTTTTGTATCACATGTATGTGCTTCTTGGGAAGAAGGTTCAATAGGCTTTTCAGAAGATGACATCATTGACGAGATTTCTCTTGTTGCATTTTCTTCGCCACTAGGAGACACTTTTGGTGAGGATTCTCTCGTTATTCCTTCTTTGTCAGTTGGAGACACCTTCATTGTTTCTTCTTTATCAGCATTAAAACATGATGCCTCTACATTTTCTTGAGTAGACTTTGTGCGCAACCAACTTGGTAAGAATTCCTCTAGAGTTATAGGATGTCGGGGTTTCTGGTAGTGATGCACTTTTACCTTTGCCTTCTTTGGGCGCTTTATTGATTTCTGCTTCACCAGTTTCTTCACCATCTTCTTTATAATCGGTTGCTCACATGATTCTTTTCGTAAGCTTGACTTGTTGCGTCTTTGCCTAGTCATAAGAATCCAGCCTTCATCACCATTTATATCAACTTGAGATTTGTTTAGCTCCAATGACTCTTCTTCATGCTTTTCAGTGATACATATTTGGACCGGATCGAGCGAGCCGAATGTGATGGAGATTTGATTAGAACTAGTTTTCTCATCATAAAGGACAATCTTCTTTTCTCTAACCAATCGCATCACTCTATCCTTGAAGACAAAACATTTTTCAAGAGAATGACTCACAAGTCTATGATACTTGCAATAAGTTGGGTCATCAGCTTTTCCAGCTTCATCAGGCCGCTTCATCTCTGGCAACTCAATGAGCTTTAATTTAAGCAACTCATCAAAAATATTAGAAATGTTAGAATCCAAGAAGGGGTATTCTTTTTCTTGCATTTCCCTTAGGATCGATTTTTGGTCTGAACACGCTTGGAAATTCGTTCTCACACTTTGCTTCTTCCCTTCCTTCTGAGTGAACTTCACAGGCGACACATTAACATTCATTTACTCTTTGTTGTCGTTCTTGGCATCTCTTAAGTTTCTGCTTGTCTCTTCATTTGCGAGGGTCATGGACAAACATCATATCCTTTCCGGCAGAGGACATGCTCAACTACATTTCATCAACGCGAGTAGCTAGATCTTCAATGTATTTTGGTTTTATTCCCTGTAAGATATTAAAAAAAAAGTTCTCAGTGCATCCCTTGGATACACATTTCTATTGCAGAAGCTTCACTAAGCTTATCCTTGCAATTCAGGCTCGTGTTCTTCCATCGATTTATGAATTCTATGGCTAGTTCATCCTTCCTTTGGCGAGTATTCGTAAGTTCTACCATGCTCACAGTATGCCTCGTGCTATAGAATCGATTGAGAAACTCGTGCTCCAGTTGCTCCCAACTATCAATAGAATTGGGCTCAAGATCCGTATACCAATCAAAGGCATTTCTTTTTAGAAACCGGACAAACTGCTTGACAAGATAGTCTCCATATGTTCCAACATTATTACATGTCTCCACAAAGTGTGCAACATGTTGCTTCGGATTTCCTCTACCCTCAAATTGTTGAAATTTGGGAGGTTGATAACCAGCAGGTATTTTTAAGTTATCAATTCTTGCGGTGTATGGCTTGACATACATATGAGATGACTTGGTGGAGACTTCATACTTATCTTTGATAGTGCCTTCAATGAACTCCTTCAAGCGATAGAGTGGGATTATTCCTTCAGAAGAAACTGGCATCTCATTAACAAGCGGTGCTTTCTTCGTAGGATCTCCAATCTCTTGAACTTCAACATATTTTTTGGGCGCATGACTTTCTTCTCCATCTAAAAGTCCTTCCATTCGATCCATCAACTTATTGATTCTAGACTCTTGGTGTTGTACATGCTTTGTCAATCTTTCAACCAACTTCGTCAGATTTGCGAGTTGTTCCTTAGAGGAAGAAACAACAACCATCATTATTTGCATGATCATTGGAGATGTAGGAGAGTAGCATGGATTGTTGCATAAGTTGATCTTCAGCGGACTCACATTACGCGATGCACATGGAGGTGACTCATTCGTTGAATCATAGCTCTCATTTGTGGTAGCGTTCTTGGAACCAGATTGCTCAAGGAGAGCCAATGTCTTCTTGATCTTTTCAGTAACACTACTTCTTCCTTCTAAAGCGTTTGCGAAGGAACTTGATATTTTTGGAGTCGTAGACCCAAAAACTGGAGTTGATGCGGATGACACTTGAAGTGTTTGTTGTCCTAGTGTAGCAGCCTTGCTTCTCGTAACAGCTCTGAAACTTCCAAAGGTAACACCCAAAATGCCTTCAACTTCAGTAGAGAACTTGGAGCTGGTGGCCTTAAAGGCAGTTGATCGAGAGTTATTCTTCATGGAAGTCATCTTGATATTCTTTGATGCTTGAAAAGTTGAGATGAGAGGTAGAGATTGTCCCACTGGGCGTGCCAAAATTTGTAGACAATAAAATTTTGTGGGATTTTACAAGACGTATTCAATTCGAATTGAGACTCTAGAAGGTGTGTTCAGTTTCAATAGAATTCTTAGAGGCTACTCAATCCTAAATTCTAGTTTATGCCTATATAAAGGGTACTGAATTCTCTTAAAAGGCACCTCAAAAATTTCAAAAAGAGATCGAGATCTCGATATATTCCACAAAAGTCATGGAATATTCATATAGAGGTCAAATTTAAATCATCCTAGTTAGAGAAATATGCTACTAATGGCCCTCAAATCATGGATAAATCTTATGAGAGTAGAATCAAGGGAGGAACAGAATTGTACTCGCATTGATGAATAAAATATTATGTTTCTTCAGATTTTATTTGTCTGGTTTATTTATTTTCCATATATTTAAAATTTGTTGCAAAAAAATTGTCACGCCCAGTGGGACCAAATCTGTCCTTCATTTCTTCTTTCATAAATCAAATCTGAAAATCTGAAGCTGCAAAGGTGGAAGAATGAGTATTTCAAGCCTCGTCTTTGACTTTCATCGAGTCTACACTCCGACAAGCCTTGAAGCAAGGGGCATTTGTAGACATTGAAATTTTGTGGAACTCTACAAGACGTGTTCAATTCGAATTGAGACTCTAGATGGTATGTTCAGTTTCAATTAGAATTTTTGGAGGTTACTCAACCCTAAACCCTAATTCATGCCTATATAAAGAAAACTAAATTCTCTTAAAAGGCATCTCAAAAATTTCATAAAGAGATCGAAATCTCGAAAATTTCGTAAAGAGATCGAAATCTTGAATATTTCGCAAATTGATGGAATATTCATATAGAGGTCAAATCTAAATCATCTTAGTTCGAGATATACGCCACTAACGGTCCTCGAATCATGGATAAATCTCAGGAGAGTAGAATCAAGGGAGGAACAGAATTGTACCCGCATTGATTTATCAATAAAATTCACGTTTCTTCATATTTTATTTGTGTGGTTTATTTGTTTTCCATAGATTTAAAAATTTGTTGCAAACACCGTCATTTCAAAGTGGGAGGACTGACCAAAATAATTATCTACTCCATAACTTGGAGCAATATTCCTCTCTTGCTAAGGTAAACCGATACAAAATATAATAATAATAATAATAATAATAATAATAATAATAATACTAATAAGAATAATAAATCATATAAATTAATAAATAATTGACAAAATCAACAAATAATAATCGAAATATAACTATTGAGCATTACCGGTCACTTTCATTGATAGTTTTGTTCAAATCAAAATCATATCGACCGCTAAGAATATTTTGATAATGAGTCATGTTAGGAAAATCAGTAGATTGAGTTATTGGAAATCCATCAAAGCTGTTATAATTTTCTAATCGGGGATGGACATTGACTGATAAAGGAGAACGTTGTTGACTAGTCTTAGGCTCTTTCCTAACATAGATTTCAAATATTGTTAACTTGATTTGATCTGCGTAGTCATTTGGAACCCTCAGAAAGTCGGTCAACGATTCGTCATTATAGATAATTCACTCTCTGAAATTTACTTGTCCTTGTGATAAAAATGAAGTAGGGTATTTTCCGACTATAATCAAATTATAATTAGTACTATTTATACTCATTCTTTTATAAATTGATGAAAAAAATTTATGATATCGGCCATTAATTGAATATTTAGCATTATGTTTGGGAGGACAATTATAATAAATGGTATTTTCGTCATGTATAATTTCGCCATCCCAATAAATCGAAATTCTAACTTTTGGTTGAGAAGACATTTTTTTTAGATTGAAATGAAGAAAGATAGAAGACTACAGATGTTGAAGGTGTTATGTTTGAACGTCCTTAAATAGAGCTTGGAGGAGTTTTCAAAATAAAAAAATAAAAATACATAATGTAATAATTTTTTCCATTTTTATGATATGTCAAATCAATATAATTGTATGACAAACACTACAAAAGCTTTATAAAGAGATACAATTCAATGCAAAACGTGAAAAATATTCCTCTTTGTAAAACAAATATTTTTCTTTCACTTTATAAAATGTAAGAAAAACTTACACTTTACTTTACAAAGTGTAAGAAATTGTTCCGTTTTACAAGATGTAAAAAATAGTTCCGTTATGTATTAAAATATACACGTTATGAGACTAACGAAAAACGTTTGAAATATTGCATAAAACGGAATATTTTCTTCCACTAAGCTTAATTTAGTTACTTCTAGTGACTTATTTTGATCACTTTTATTTTTTTGTGGCTTATTTAGCTTCCGGACTCTGCTTGTTCACCCATTAATCCGACGTAACCTCGTATATTTATATATATATATAAAACATTATAAGATAGATATATTAAGACATCAACATCAAGTGATCAAAAGCTTGATAGGTACTTTGATTCAATTGTTGACCTGAAGGTCTCCCTAGGGAGATGAGCTACGCTTCAAAATTCAAATGTTTTCTTCTAATTCTCTAATACAATTTTTATTCCTTTTCCTCCATTTATACTTTATTTATTTACTTTAAGTTTAGTTTTACTTTTTTTTTATATTTATGTAATTTCTTGAAATAAAAAAAAATTGTCTGGCTAAAAAATCTCTCAAGATAATTCATTTTTTTCTAAGAAATGAAAGAGTTTCTTAACTTCATCATTTTGATAGTTATGCACTTAAACAATTATATTATGCAATTTATAGTAATTTTATATTAAGAAAATCAAGCATTCATAAACTTAAAATAATAGATCCGTCACTAATTAAATAATTAAAATTAAGAAAAGAATAAAAGAAATTAATAGAAGTGCAATCACTAAAAGAATTATGACCTAGATATTTTATTAATAAGAATAATTTTTTATTATTATGAACCATAGTTATCATCATGTCGTGAACCTTATTTCTACATTAGTAAACAACTATCATAATTTAATTACCTTTTAGAATTTTACAATATAATATAATGCAGTTGCTCCTCTAAAACGTTTCCTTGTATACTAATCTTCGCATAAAAAAAAGTGATGCAGAAATCTTTGTACCTAATGCTTTAACGCGTAGACTTTTCTCCAGAAAAAAACGTGGCGGTGCCATTGCAGCACAAATCTTGAAATTGTCCATTCCTCAAACCCCAAAAAAAGTGACAAAGGAACAAGAGTTGTTTGAGCTGAATCAAGAATGGATCTGCCAGCAGAAGAGCTTCAATTCTTGACTATACCTGATATTTTTCAAGAATCAATCTCCATACCTAAGAGATCTCCAAAAACATTCTACCTAATTACCCTTACTTTAGTATTTCCTTTATCTTTTGCAATCTTGGCTCATTCTTTGTTCACTCATCCAATCATTACTCAGCTTCAACAAAACCCAAATTCATCTCATGCTTCTCAATGGACAAAGCTCATTGTTTTTCAGTTTTTTTACCTGCTTTTCTTGTTTGCTTTCTCTTTGCTTTCAACTGCTGCTGTTGTTTTCACTGTAGCATCAATTTACACTGCAAAGCCTGTCTCTTTTTCATCTACCTTAGCTGCAATTCCCAGTGTTTTCAAGAGGCTTTTCATTACCTTCATATGGGTTTCTCTTTCTATGTTGGCTTATAACACTGTTTTCTTGATTTTTCTTGTGCTTCTCATTGTAGCAGCAGATACCCAGAATGTGGTTTTGTTCCTTTTCTCCTTTTTGGTTGTCTTTATACTCTTTCTTGTAGTTCATGTTTACTTCAGTGCATTGTGGCATTTGGCCAGCGTGGTGTCTGTTCTTGAGCCTATTTATGGTATAGGAGCTATGAAGAAGAGCTATCACTTGTTGAAAGGGAAGACAGGAATGGCATTTTTCTTTGTTTTTGGATATTTGTCTATTTGTGGGGTAATTAATGGGTTTTTTGGGTCTGTTGTGGTGCATGGAGGTGAAAGTTATGGTGTGATTTCAAGGATTTTGATTGGTGGGTTCTTGGTTGGAGTATTGGTGATTGTGAATCTTGTGGGGCTTTTGATGCAAAGTGTGTTTTTACTATGTTTGCAAGAGCTACCATCATCAAGGGATAGATAAGACTGCTCTCTATGATCATCTTGGTGGATACCTTGGGGAGTATGTGCCTCTGAAAAGCAGCGTGCAGATGGAGAACTTAGAAGGCGGTCCCTTGACGCCATGATGGTGAGAAAGGCTGAATCCTTGTGCTTTCATTCGAATTTGTTGCATGATATATTGGCAAGAGGAATCGTAAAGACATTAACTTTGAAGTAGGTTGTTGTGTTTTGGCACTTGAATTTGTTTGTATACATAATAAGTAACTTTGCTCTTTGTGCTTTCTTGATAAATTCCATTAATATGCACCAATAGTGTTTATAACAAAGCTCTGTGTTCTTTGTACATGTTAAAATATATCTATTGATAATTGTTATGCTATGTGATTGTTCGCCACCAGAGGTGGACAAATATCATATACTGCGTATGACTGCTCCGCTGTTGTTTATAGAAAGAAAGTTATACCATTGTTCATTGTATCAATTGAGATAAATTCGTCCAACTTTGTCTCTTATGTTGTACTCAACTTTGCTCTTTGTGCTTTCTTGATAAATTCCATTAATATGCACCAATAGTGTTTATAACAAAGCTCTGTGTTCTTTGTACATGTTAAAATATATCTATTGATAATTGTTATGCTATGTGATTGTTCGCCACCAGAGGTGGACAAATATCATATACTGCGTATGACTGCTCCGCTGTTGTTTATAGAAAGAAAGTTATACCATTGTTCATTGTATCAATTGAGATAAATTCGTCCAACTTTGTCTCTTATGTTGTACTCAACTTGTCAAGTCTTCTCTTTGTTTTCCTGTGCTTATATCTCCTCAGAATCCCAGTGGAGATCGAAATTTAAGTTGTTAACTAAGCTGAGTGATTTAAATAGATACAGAAATAATAAGGGTTTGGCCTACCTGTAATAACTGAGTTGGTACTTTTTCTATTTCAGCCTCACCAAACCTCTGCATTGCCGTAGAACTGATTCCTTTTTTTCCCCTCAAGGATTGGAATGGTACTCTTCTATGATAGTCTAACTAGCTTCACTCCTTTTTGTGGGGCAGTTTACTTGAAAAACAAATAAAAGAAAAGGCGAGGAATCGCCTCATTGGACAGAAAAGCTTACACTTCATTGTGTGTGTCTTTTGTTAGGAAATTGGTGGGGAGAAGAGAGGGGGAAATGCTCAACCTTCACCGTATTATATTAAGTGTGTAAGTGAAGGAACTGTCTTGGACTCAGTTTTGTGAAATATTCTTTTAACGGTAATAAGCTAACAAAATATTTTCTTTGCTTCTGGTTATGCAGAACTTCAGTTTAATTTAGTGTACACCACTTAAACTAGTGAAATAGTTTTGCTAGGAAGTCTCACAGCATTATGTGTACTCACTTAAAGCGGCTATCCATGATTTAGTCTTTCCTCCTTTCTCCTTTTCACTGGATATTAGTCTTTTGGGATAATGGTCAAAATACACTTGAACTATCACTTTTTTCGCGAATTTTACATCCCATCTATCAACTATTTCCTTTTCCTATCTGAACTATCACCATCTATGTATTAAAACACACCTAGTTGAGTAGGTGGTGATAGTTCAGGTAGGAAAAGGGAACAATTGAAAGTTGCAGCTACTAGAAAATATTGAACAATTATATTGAGATGGAGTGTTGTACTTGGGTAAGTGGGTGGGGGTTGAAATCTGAGCTACTTCGATGGAGTGATGTCCTTGGGTTACCTCCACATAGCCTCCAATGTCTGGATGGTCCTCTTTGACTGGCCATAGGTCTGAGGACAAAATGTTGTGCTAAGTACTCTGCTACCGAAAGCCTTTTGGATGCCCTGCCACAAGGCTAAAGTGAACCCTGGATATTTGATTGATACTATGGATGATGGTATCCTGTGTAGGCATACTATCTCATTATGGAACAGTATCTCAGTATGTATATGTTGGGTAGGTCTAAGAAACTCAGAGATGTCACAAACCCAAATTGGAAAAAAGATATATATAATGTCTTTTTGGCATAACATGGTAGTTGTAGATGAAGCTGAAAAGTTTTCTTGATTTCTTAACTGCCCTAGAGGAGTAGCAAAGGTAGGGGTGGACGTTAGGTCGTTCAAATTGGATATGTAAATTTCAGTTTGGATTTTCCGGTTCTCAGGGTGAGAAATTACAATCCAAATAAACTCGAATTGGATTCGATTTTTTTAAGTTCGGTTTTGGATTAAATGGTTTGGATGTTTTTGACTTTTCAGTTTCGACTTTAGAGCATTTGGGGCAGGCCATAACAATTAACAACCTCAATTCGCCTAATAGTTTGCTCTTTATAATGTATAACTTTCTACCGTTAACAAGGATGGAGGCCACCCTGCAGTCCATGCCATGTAATTCCATATTGAACTTAATATTATAATAGGTATGGCCGTAGGTATTAATCTAATATCTATTTTTTTTTTGATAACAAGGGAAACCCGCAGCTGCTACCCTTTTGGTGCGCACAGGGTAAAACCCCGCTCCTATGCAATAGCTCGCAAACCACATAGGAGAGGTAACCCACACTAGGCAAGCCCGGTGCGACGAGCTCGACCCAGAAAGCAAACCCATTGCTTTCGCTGGCAAGGGGTTTCGAACTTGAGATCTCCAACATGAAAGTCCCAAGCCCCCAAACCACTGGGCCACCCCGAAGGGTATTAATCTAATATCTATTGGATCTTTGGAAATTGGATTTAATAGTATTGGACACATTTGATATGGGTAGGGCTGAATATAATGTATAAAATTTTTGGTTGGATATCCAAAATTCCGTAGTACTAAATCCGATATCCAATCCATAATCCAAAAATTCAAACTAAATATCCAAAATGTTCGGACTGCGGGTTGACCCAAACTAAGCCCACCTCTAAGCAAGTGTTCTGCATATACAATAATTCTTAGTTCTATGTTGTGTTGATAAAATTGTTTATTTAGATGCAAAGGGCAGTGGCTTTCGACATAGAAAAAGAACATCCAGTGGCAATTAAAATCAGAGACTAAAGTTCAATTTTACTTTGAGAAATTAAAGCGCACTGGAATAACATGATTGTAGTACAATTTGAGATTTCCTTCAGGAGCTACTAGTCCAATATTGACAATTTGAATTACGTGATCATACTACAATTGGATTTCCTTCAAAAGGAAACTAGATATCCATTTTGTGAAGTAGCTTGAACAGTTTAGTTACTTAGCTCCACAGTTCTAATTGGCTGTGAGCATGTCAATGGACCTTTAGTTATGTCGGGTAATAATCATAATATAGTTTTGGAAGATACACTCATGATGAAGCTAGCTTAAAGAACAAGAAGTAGCTTGTAAGAGGATTCGGAAAGACTTGCAAGAAAGAAGGATTCTAGGAGGAATATAGCCTTCTTTACATCAAACCTTAGCTAACAGAAATATCTATTATGAGCTCATTTGGATTTGGCTTATTTTAAGTGCTTTTAAGCTAAAATAGCTTTTAAGCATTTTTGGAGTGTTTGGGTAAGTTTAAAAAAAGGTGCTCATAAGCACTTAGTTTTAAAGCTAAAATACTAAACATAAGCCAAAAATGAAAAACCAATCCAAACAGGCTCTAACTCAGAACCCGACAGTTACTGCCACTGCAGATGCTCGCTCCTGTTAATTCTTGTGCATTTTCCTGGTATTTGGACGTGGATCTTGCTGTTGGGTTGGCCTCCTGGATTGTCAATGTTTTCTGGTTAAGCCTTCTACTTATGATGAAACAGTTATCAATCCTGCAATACATAGATCCAGAAAGTCTTTATTCTCTTTTGGATAGTGGTTCTATTTCAATGTCTTTAGATTCAGTGAAATCCTGTAGGGGTACATTTTGGACATTGATTGAAGTTCTTTCAGCATGTTCAACATATACAATATGTTACTATATAGTGTGGTTGGTCCTGGAGGCATTGTACATCGTACCGTATGCAACAATAAGTCTAATATGTCCATGGAGCACTTAGTTTCTCTTGAGAACTTGTTTTGGCTCATAGAGTGAGAAGTTCGCACTTGTGTTTCTCTGTGATTTGATTTCCACATGGTTACCGTCCATTTTGTTGTTTCTCCTTGATGAACTTGCATGTAATTAGCCTGACACATTTAGTTCAGCTGGATGTGGGTAACATGACATGAGAAAGGAGATATATGTTGGCATCATCATTATGCATAGGTAAGTTTGCAATGGCAAGGATAACAAAATTTCAAGTCAGTAGCCACCTGATGTCCTTTGTTTAGGACATCTTCCAAGCAACCTGCTGGCCAAGACTGTCCGTCTTCCATAAGCATGGAAATGATGTGAGGAGTGCCTCACTGCTAAGAATTGAAAGTTCTTAAAAAAGGTATCTTTGTTTAGGGGAAGACGCTAGGGTGGTGTTGTGAAAAAGTATCTTGGCATATAAAAGTAAGTTAGTTATAGATTCAGAGAAGTCGTGTGATAGCTAAATAAAATGCTTAAACTGGCGGAAATTTGAACCATCCATTTGATGGATGATTATTTGGAATGAACAATGTTTTTTGCGCAATTTTAAGTTACGTGAACATGTCTTTCACTCTCCTATATGGGTTCTTCATTGTTTTAAAAGGCATTAATAAATTTTCTGCAACTTGTTAATGTTTTTCTGCTAATTTTATTTTGCCTATGGATCTTGTGTGAGATTTCTTCTGTAAAAGTGTAGTTGAAATAGTGTTTCTTGAAGTTTGTATATTGTTATAACAGGTGAAGGATCTATGCAGATAACAAAATTGTGGCAGAGCTTTGAAGATTGCCTTGATTATCAGACAGACTATAGGCCTTTTTCTATCCTATATGTTGAAATTCATTCTCTTTTGTGATAAAAATTACAGAAACTTTCATCAGTTTAGTTTACTATTCATTAGTCTTTAGTTTTTGGGTTCAAAAAGTACATACTAATTAAGCTTGTTTAATTTGAATCACTTAACTATAGTCTATTAAATTTACTATTTGAGTCTTGCTTTGTGTTTACACTAACATAGGCAGGCATCCAGAATAGTATATAAATATTCACAAGGATAAAAAAAAAGAAAGAACTTCATTCTGTGATTCACCATATACAAGTCTATTCAGAAATGATTAGAAGCTGATTTATACCAAAATGGAGTGAGAGAGACATCGCTTACTATAGAAAGAAAATCCATGATTATATAATTTTACCTGCTCTATTGAGGTAAGGTGTGCATACACTATCCTTTCTGGATTTCACTTTATAAAACTATACTGAGTATGTTGTATAAGTACTACTCATGTTTGAAATAATCCAGGGAAGTTACGAAGTCAACTAGTTTATCAATATGCTCAAAGTATATGCTACATATACATTATAGGTATGCAAATTAAATGTATAATATATGTATATTCAGTATAAGATCTATACTATTTATATATTTTGTATATACTTTATAAATTAGATGATCAAATGATTTGTAATCATCCCCAATCCCCATCATGAATATTTAAATAATTAATCAT